CTGGGATAATCGGGATGGGAGTGTCAGAGACAGTGCGATTGGCACAGGACAGAGCGGAGTTTAGGGCTGTTGTACATAGGGTCGCTATGAGTGGCAGGCGACTCGACGGCACATAACAACAACAAGAACAACAACAACATGTTTTTTAGTGGCAATGACAGGAGAAGAGTACTGAATATTTCATACATTCCCAAAAGATCAGATCGGTCTTGGAGGAGGTGTAACTAGGGTACTTCCTTTTTAAAAATTTTATTAATTTTAATGAACGTTTACAGAGATATTTTATTTCCATTCATTCATTGTTGCATTTTTCTCCCTGCCCATCCCTTCCCCACTAAAGCACTTCTTAACGGCAAGGATGGTGAAACTTCATCTGAAACACTTTATTTTGTCAGATGGGACCAAACCTTTGAAAAAGGCATCATTTTGGGAAAGGTGGAGGGTCAGAAAACAGAAGATGACCCTCAACAAGATGGACTGATACAATGATTATAACAATCATCCTGAACATATCACAGGTGGTGAGCATGGAGCAAGACAGGAAAAGGTTCAGATCTGCTCTAAGTCATCTGACGTAACAACACCTAACAACAAATATCATAATCCAGGTACCCTTAGTATTTATGTGTAAATACAAGAATCCTTATTTCAACAATACAAAACAATAAGCCTATAAGCAAGTATGGGCATAAATTACTAAAATGTGAATCCTTTTGATCAGAATGCATTTCTTAAATTTACTTCTAAAATAGAACTTTCTTTTAAACATTAGGTTAATAGGGAGGAAGATAATGTGAAAGAATCTATTTCCAAGGCTTTTTTTTATACTCTTCAGAAAATGAAAGAATATTTAACTTTTAAAAGGGAACTCTAAGTGCACAATTGGTAGGAGGCTGTGGTCTCACCCCCAACCTGCACCTAGCTGACCATTCATAACCAACAGTTTCTCAGGAGGAAGATGAGCAATGTTCTGTGAGACTTACAGCCTCAGAAACTCAAGCATCAGGTTCAAGTTGGTTCTGACTTAATGGCAATGAACATTCAATGTGTATTTTAAAACATAAAATCTAAAATTTAATTTAATGAAGTTAACATAAACCTATCAATAATTAGACAAATAAGAGAACACAGCACAAGTATTTTAGTATTGTTTTTAAATTTTATACATGTGATTAGAACAAGTGCCTGTTACCTGGTAATTAGGATTGTCAATCATCGGAGGTTTCCAAATTCCTTTGAATTTAGGATTATCTATCATGGGAGGTTTCCACTCACCACACCCAACCTGACATGCTGGATTAGGAATCTGAGGTGCTTCCCATTCTCCATCCATGTCTTCATTCCTTAGTACATAAAAAACAAAGCAAAATGGTAACCTTAAGTATCTTCTACCAGTCATACACATTAGGAGCAAAAAAGCAAGTAAGAAATCTTTAAAACTGGCATTTAAAGATGAAAAATATTTACCAATCAGCAGGTTTTTCAGCATTAGGATCTGGAATCAATTTCGGCTGATCATCAAGCCAGCCATCAGGCTTAACAATACTTGAATCTTCTATTTGGGCAGGTTCATTTTCATCCCTAAAAGTACAGTATTTTATATTATTACTTGGAAGGCATGTTAAAAAATTCAAAAGATATAAAAAAGCTATGTCCTACTCTTTTCTGAATTCTCTGCCTCCGATCTATCCCCATTCCCTACTTGCTATTGTTCTATCTGTATAGATGCACATGCTTGTTCTTCTATAGACAGTATTCTGGAGCTTGTTTTTGTCAATTACTAAAATGTATACGGAGTATAGGGAGCCCAGGGGGCTGTGTGTGTAAGGAGTTGTGCTGTTAACCCAAAGGCAGCACTGCTGCAGTTCAAATCCAGCTGCCACTCCAAGGGAGAAAGACAGGCAATCTCCTCCAGTGGGAACTACAGCCTCAGACCACCTACTGGAGGGTCAACTAACAGAAGTTACAACTCAAAGAAGGGCAAGGAGTTAAGGTTCAAGAGTTTGATCAATTAAAAACCCACTCACCAACAAGTATTTATGCATCAGGATTTTTCTAGAAGCCCCATCAGAAACATGTATTTTCTACAGCTGTTTTGTGTTTGTTGTTTGGAGGGTTTTTTTTGGTTTGGTTTGGGTTTGGTTTTCTGTTTGTTTTGATTTTTCTTAACAGCTGCATAGTGTTCTTTGTGGACTTAGGATAAATTTGTTTAATTGCTCCTTCTTGAAGGACATTCACTGTTCCCCAAATCTCACTATTATAAAAAGGTTGTTGTCATATTAATTTGTTGTTGTTGTTATTTTATTACTGTAGGGTTGAAACCAGCCCAGAGCTGACCCTCCAGAGACTTTTCAGAGACAGTAAATTGCACAGGAGGAGATTGCTCATCCTTTTCTCATGGACTTGAACCATGTGCCTTTGGAATTGCAGCAGAGCTTCTTACCACTAGGCTAGCAGAGTTCCTTATATAATTATACTTAATAGTTTTTCGTATATGCCATTTCTTTCTTGAGGAAATATATTTATATGTAAATGCATTTAAAACTTTTAGTGTCTTCCAAATGACATTCTATAAAGGTTAAACTCCATGTCCAGTCCTACCAACACTGTATGACAGTGTTTATTTTTATTTCCCATTCTTGCCAATACAGTGTTATTAAAATGCATCATTTTTGCCCATCTAGTCATCCATAGAGAGCTATGTGCCACAGCTGAAAGGCTGACTCTGGCAATCTGGATCCAACAGAAGCTGCTAAGGAAAAAGATGGAAAATTTCCTCCCATGTTTTTAAAGCTTCAGGAATCCAATGAAGAATCAGTTATGAGTCTCTTCCAACTTGACAGCAAAGAGTAATAATACAGGTGAAAATGGAACTCATTATAGTTTTGATATACATTTTACCGCATACGTAATACATCTTATTTGTTGCTGTTGTGTACCATACACTTGCAAATGACCCACAGCTGTCCCCCTGGTGGGTTTTCAGAGGCAGTTAGTTGCATGGGAGGAGAATGCCCATTCTTCTGCAGAACAGCTAGTGGCCTCAAATCACATGGCTCTGGGACTGCAATGCAGCTTCTTGCCTCTAGGCCACCAGTGTTCAAATAATACATGTTGTTACATGCCATCGAGTCGCCTTTAACTCATACCGACCCTATGTACAACACCTCTGATGCCTGCCCTGTCCTGAGCCAGTCTGCCTCTGACACAACTACCCTCATTGTCCTAGTTACTGTATCAATCCATCTCATTTGGAGTCATCCTCTCCTGCCCTGCCCCTGCATCCTTCTGAGCATGATGTCCCTTCTCCGGATTGGTCCTTCCTGGCCATATACCCAAGGTATGTGAGACAGAGTGTCAAAATCTTAGCCTTCAATGAGAGACTTGGTTACACCCTCTCCAAGACAGATATATTTGTTTTGTTAGCAGTCCACGGTATGTTCCAGACTCTTCTCCAGCACTACAACTCAAGGGCATTGCTTCTGTCATCCTTAGTCTCCTCTTTATGCTTTCTGATGCACAGCAAGTAACTGTGAAGATCATGGTCTGGATTAGGTGCACCTTAGTCTCTAGAATGACAACAATGCTTCTCAGTATTCTGGAGAGGTCCCCGACAGCAGATTTACATAATGCAATTCATCTTTTAATTTTCTGACTGCTGTTGCCAAGAATGTTGATTGTGGAGGTGAGCAAGCTGTAACTGTTAACAACCTCAATTGCTTCTCCATCTATTATGGTGCTACCAATTGGCCCAGTGGTGAGAATCTTTGTCTTGATGGTAAGCTTCAACTCATATTGAAGACTACAGTTCTCAACCTTCTTCAGCAAGCCCTTCAGGTCCTCCTCAGTTCAGCAAGCAAGGTTGTGTCATTTGCGTAACACAGGTTGTTGATGAGTCTACCTCCAATCCTGATGCCACATTCCTCCTCATACAGCCCAGCCTCCCAAATGACCTGTTCTGCATAGATTGAAAAAGTAAGGAGACAGGACACATCCCTGATGCGTTCCCATCCTGATTTTTGAACCATGCAGTGCTTCCCTGCTCTGTTCTGAGGACTGCTTCCTAGTCCAACTATAGGTTTCACATAAGCACAATCAAGTGTTGTGGGATTCCCATTCTCCTCAAAGTTAACTACAATTTGTTATGATCCACACAGTCAAATGCTTTTGTGCAGTAAATAAGACAGATATTCCTCTGTCACTCTTTGCTTTCTGCCAAGACCCATTTAACACTTGTGATGTGATAATGTCTCTTGTGCATGTGCCACAACCACTTCTAAATCCAACTTGTATTTCTCTGTCAATGTACTGTTCTAGTAATTTTTGGATAATCATCAACATGATTTTGCTTGTGTATGGTATTAGTCATATTGCTTAATAATGTCTATACTCTGACGGGTCACCTTTATTTAGAATGGGAATAAATATGAATCTCTTCCAGTTGTTGAGCAGGCAGCTGTCCTCCAGTTTTCGTGACATAACCTGGTGAGCATATCGAGGGCAGCATCTATTTGTTGAAATATGTCAACTGATATTCCATAAATTCCTGGGGCTTTAATTTTACCAAGTTCTTCAGAGCAGCCCGCCTTTCCTCCCTCAACATCACTGCCTCTTATCATATGCTGTTTCTTGAAATTCTTCTGTGTTAGCCAATTCTTTTTGGTACAGTGATTCTGTATACTCCCTTCCATCTTCTTTTAATGTTTCCTGGATCATTCAATATTCTGCTCATAGCATCCTTAAGTATTGCAACTTGAGGCTTGAATTTGTTCTTTATCTTCAGCTTAAGAAATGCTGAGCGAGTTCAGCCCTTATGATTTTCAGATTCCAGTTCTTTGCACAATTCATTATCATACTTTTTCTTCCCATGGTGCCCTCGGAAATCTTCTATTAGCCCCTTAATTTCTTCCCTTTTGCTTTGGCTTTTCGGCTTACTAGTGCAATATTCTGAGTCTCTTTTAACATCCATTTTGGTCTTCTTCCTCTATCTTTGTAGTGAGCTCTTTTTTGGTTTGGTTTTTATAAATGTTATTTTTATTTAATTAATTTTAATGAACATTTACAGAGATTTTGGATTTCCATACATTTGTTGTTGCATTTTTCTCCCTGCCCACCCCTCCCCCCAGTTCACACTTCTCTTTGAAGAGTGAAAGAACAATTTCATTGTTATAGAATCCCGCCTCCTGCCCTGAGTACACTCCACTATGCAATCTTCATTCTGGACTCTTGTCATAACCATAATACCCAACCATATATCGCTTTCAAACAGTTCTCTCCCTCATCTGTTTCAATGCAGTATACATAATTTGTCCAATTTTTCTTAGTCTCACCCCAGCCCTGATGTCAGTCCCACTCCACAGTAGTGGCACCAGGCAGCACCTGTCCCTTTGTGAATGAGATATTTCACTCAGCATAATGTCCTGCAGGGTCATCTATTTTGCATAACATTTCATGAGGTCCTTGTTTTTCAATGCTGCATAGTATCCCATTGTGTGAATATACCAGAGCTTCTCTATCCATTCATTTGTTGATGGGCACTTAGGTTGTTTCCAACTCTTTGCTATTGTGAACAAAGCCACAATAAACATGGGTGTGCATAT